CTGGTCGCCATTTTGGGTGTGGCGGGCTGACACTCGCAGCGGGCCGCCATGTTGGGTGTGGCACAAAGCAGGTTCTGCCGTCTTGAGCGTGGCCGTGTCGCTGTCGCCGCCATGTCGAGTGCGGCGCGTTGATCACACTGGGTGGGGGGGAAGTTCGGGAGGCGCCATATTGGGTGTGGCCCGGGGGCGGGGTGGATGTCGCCAGAGGGTGGCCGCCATCTTGGGTGTGGTATCGGCGCGGGGCGCGCCATATTGAGTGGGGCTGGTGGCCGCCATGTTGGGCGTGGCGATGGAAGGAAGCTGCCGCCGTGGTGTGACGATTTTTTTTCGCTGCGCCGGAAGTTGCGTCATTCCGCGGCGCCAGCGATCCCCGGCAGCGTGTGAGCCGCAGCCATGACCCGGTCCCGTGAGTTCGGGGAGGCTCCGGGAGGGCTCGGGGGGCTCCGGGGACCCTCCCGCACTCACCCCGCCCCTCCCTGCAGGACGACAGCTGGAGGCGTCGCGGAAGAAGCGCGGCCAGGTGAGCCCCGGCCCGGGGGAGGGAGCCGGGCGGGTTTGGGGTGCAGCCCTTGTGACCCCCCGGGATGTGACACCCGCCGGTGTCACCCCCCCGGTGTCCCCCCCGCGCTGTCCCCAGGCCCGGCGCGCCCGTGTCGGCATCAAGAAGGACCCGGGGGTGCCGCAGCTCGGCCGCTTCGCCGCCTTCGCGCAGCAGCAGAGCAAGAGCCGGCAGAGGCCGGTAAAGAACCGGGGGAGTTCGGGGTGACCCCCGGGGGAGTTCGGGGTGACCCCCGGGGGAGTTTCGGGGTGACCCCGCCGGGGGAGTTTGGGGTTGTCCTCCAGATGAAACCGCGGGAGGGATTCTGGGGTTCCCCCGCGGTATTTTGGGGTGCCCCGGCCAAATCTGAGCGCAAGAGGATTTTGGAGCATTGCTCCCATTGTGACCCCGGGGCGGGACATTTTGGGATCCCCGCTCAAGTACAAAGTCGGGGGGGCTGTGTGGGGTCACCCCTCCCAGTCTGACACTGGGGGGTTTGGGGTCTGACCCAGGGGGGTTTTGGGGTCTGACCCAGGGCGGTTTGGGGTCTGACATTGGGGGGTTTGGGGTCTGACATTGGGGGGTTTTGGGGTCTGACCCAGGGGGTTTTGGGTTCTGACCTGGGGGGGTTTGGGGTCTGACACTGGGGGGGCTTTGGGGTCTGACCCAGGGGGTTTTGGGGTCTGACCCCCCGTGTCCCGCAGCCGCTGGAGGCGCAGCAGCGCTCACCCCTGGCCGTGCAGCTGGCAGAGGCTCTGCAGCGACAGCAGCGCTTCCAGAGCCAGGTGGGGCTGGGGACCCCCGGGGGGGCTCCCTGAAGAGTGGGGGGGTCTATAAAGAGTGGGGGGCTTCCCAAAGAATGGGGTTCCCCTGAGAGAGAGGGGCTCCCCTTGGAAGGGAGGGGGGGATTCTTCTCTAGGACAGGGGGCTCCCCACACAGAGGGGATCCCCCCAGAAGTCGGGGGCTCCCTGGGGGTGCCCCCCACGGCTGCGGGGGTCCCCATAACGCAGGTGCCCCCAGGAGAAGGACGAGAAGGAGGAGGAGCCCCCCCAGCCCCCCCAGGACGAGGCGTCGCTGCGCCACTTCGGGCGGGAGCTGCGCAAGGTCGGTGCCGCAGGGTGAGGGGGGGGTTTTGGGGGTCTTTCCCCCAGCTGAACCCCGATTGTGGCAGGTGCTGACGGCGTCTGACGTGGTGCTGGAGGTGCTGGACGCCCGCGACCCCCAGGGCTGCCGCAGCCCCCGGCTCGAGGGGGCCCTGCGGCCCCAGCAGCGCCTCGTGCTCGTCCTCAACAAGATCGGTGTGTGGATCTGGGTGGGGGTCCTAGGGTGAAATCTGGGGGGGCTCTGCTGTCCCTACAGCCTTGGTGACACCCCCGTGTGTCCCCCCGCCCAGACCTGGTGCCGCGGGACGTGGTGGCCGCGTGGCTGAAGCACCTGCGGGACGAGTTTCCCACCGTGGCCTTCAAGGCGTGCACGCAGCAGCAGAGCCAACACCTGGTGGGTGCTGGGGGGTCTGGGGGAGGGGGAAGGGAGAGTTGGGGTGTGAGGGAGGGTTTGGGGGGCTGGGGGATGAGTGGGGAGGGGGAGGGACATGGGGGGCTGTGAAATAGGGGTGTGATGAGTGAGTGGGGCTGAGAGGGTGTTTGGGGCTGTGAATTGGGGGTTTTGGGGGGCTGGGTTTGAGGGTCCCCCCCGACTCTGAACCCCTTGCCCAGGGTACCCCAACGTGGGCAAGAGCAGCCTCATCAACAGCCTCAAGCGCAGCCGCGCCTGCGGGGTGGGAGCCATGCCCGGGGTCACCAGGTGAGCCCACCTGGGCTGGGGTCACCTGCAGGGGGCACGGGGGAGTGGGTGGAGTCTGGGCTGACCCTGCCCAGCTGTGTGGGTGTGGCATGGAGAGCCCTGCCCAGGTGTGGGTGTGGCACAGACCCCACCCAGGTGTGTGGTGGGTGTGGCACAGAGGACCCTGCCCAGATTTTGTGGTGGGTGTGGCACAGACCCCACCCAGGTGTGTGGTGGGTGTGGCACACAGACTCCACCCAGGTGAGGATGGGTGTGGCACAGGGATCCCATCCAGGTGTGGCACAGGGATCCCATCCAGGTGTGGTGGGTGTGGCACAGACCCCACCCAGGTGTGGTGGGTGTGGCACAGGGATCCCATCCAGGTGAGGATGGGTGTGGCACTCAGCCCCCGCCCCCAGGTGCCTGCAGGCCGTGCAGCTGGACGGGCACATCCGGCTCCTGGACTGCCCAGGGGTGGTGCTGGACTCGGGGGACCCCTCGGCCACCGCGCCCCTGAGGGGGGCCCTGGCCCCCCAGCGCCTGCGGGACCCCGTGACCCCCGCCTGCGCCATCCTGCGCCGCTGCCCCCCCCAGCAGGTACGTGGGGACCCCCCTGGGGGGCTGGGGGTGTGTGGGGTGCCCCCATCCCCATGACAACATTCCCAATTTAAGGGGAACCCCGTTTACGCAGCTGAATCAGCAGATCTAGCACTCAGCGATATGGGGGACTCAGTGACCCCCAAAATTGGGACTAAGGGGGGCTCAACACGGGGGGTGCACACCCCGTGCCCGTAACCAGGGGGAGGGGAGGTTATTCCAGGGGGGGCTCCTGGACTGCCCAGGGGTGGTGCTGGACTCGGGGGACCCCTCGGCCACCGCGCCCCTGAGGGGGGCCCTGGCCCCCCAGCGCCTGCGGGACCCCGTGACCCCCGCCTGCGCCATCCTGCGCCGCTGCCCCCCCCAGCAGGTACGTGGGGACCCCCCTGGGGGGCTGGGGGTGTGTGGGGTGCCCCCATCCCCATGACAACATTCCCAATTTAAGGGGAACCCCGTTTACGCAGCTGAATCAGCAGATCTAGCACTCAGCGATATGGGGGACTCAGTGACCCCCAAAATTGGGACTAAGGGGGGCTCAACACGGGGGGTGCACACCCCGTGCCCGTAACCAGGGGGAGGGGAGGTTATTCCAGGGGGACCTCCCCACCGTGGGGCATTTCCAGCCCGTTTTGGCCAGCGAGAGGGGGGCAGGCTGGCAGTCCCCTGTGTGTCCGTGCCCCCCAAACCCCTCTGTGCCCCCCACAGCTGAGCCAGCTCTACGGGGTCCCCGCCTGCAGTGACCCCCTGCAGTTCCTGGCCCACCTGGCCCGGCGGCAGGGCCGGCTCCGCCCGGGGGGGCTCCCGGACCCCCACGCTGCTGCCATAGCTCTGCTGCACAACTGGACCAGGTCTGTGACGGACAGGGACGTGTTTGGGGGGCGTCCCCGCACTCTGATCACCTTTCTGGGGGGCTGGGAGGGGTTTCCATACCCTCACCCCCTTTTTTGGGTGAGTGGAAGGGTCTTTCCATACCCTCGCCCCTTTTCTGGGGGTTGGGGAGGGTCCCCATACACCCTGACCCCATTTTGGGCACGGGGGGGTCTTTGCACACCGCCTAACCCCATTCTGACAGGGGTCTACAGGGTCTCCCCATGACCTCACCCCTTTTTTGGGGACAGGAGGGGTCTTTCCACACTTTGTGAACCCTTGGTTGTGAACCAAAGGGGTCTTTTCAGACTCTGGGACCCCTTTCTCGGGGCCTGTGGGGTCTCCCACGCACTTTGACTTCCCTTTTTCAGGATTGTGAGCTGTTTTTTCATAATTAGTTATCCTCTTTTTGGGAGCTGGAGGCATTTTTCCACCCATTGTGACCCCATTTGGGAGGGGCTGCAGGATCCCCCTATACCCTGAGCTCTGGTTTTGGGGACAGGAGGGGTCCCCCCCACACCCTGACCCCCCTTTTTTTACAGTGGGAAGATCTCGTACTACACCCACCCCCCCAAATCTCGGGGGGTGCAGCTCGAGGCCCAAATCCTCCCAGCCCTGGGGCCAGCCCTGGACCTGGAGGCTCTGGAGCGGGGCGATGCCGAGGCCCTGGCAGGTGAGCAGCACCTGAACCCCCCTCCCTTCCCCCCTCGGGGACCCCCCAAAACTCACCTGGCCCTCCCACAGCTGTCCCAGTGACGGTGACAGGGCTGGGGCTGTCCCCGGAGGAGGAAGGGGAAGGAGAAGCCATGGAGGACGACAGCGGTGACCTGGAGGTGGGAAGGGATTTCCTGAGGGGTTGGGGGTTTTTTGGGGGGTTTTTGGGGTTAATATTTGACCCCCCCAGCTCGGCACGATGACGGTGGAGCTGAAGCCCCGAGTGAAGTCGAAGGACACTGGGGGAGAATCACTGCCCCGAGCCCCCACCCTGGAGGAGGTGGCTGCGCTCCCCCCTCTATTCCAGGGGCAGGGGCTGCAGGCAGCTGGAAAGAGGAGGAAAAAGCTGCAAAAAAGAGCACGTAAGTGAAGACACCCCGTTTTCCTGACCCCCCCCCAACCTCCCTGACCACCTCCCTTCAAATTCCTGATCACCCCCATCCCACAGAGAAAATCGCCACGAAGCTGTCGGACACGTTGGAGGCAGCCATGCAGTTCTGAGGCATCTACAAATTAAATAAAAATACTGTATTTAATGGAGAAATAGTTAAAAAAAACCTTTTTAGAAATAGAAGAGCTAGGGATACAGGGGTGTTGTAGGTGTGGTTTGGGTGGTCTCTCAAGTAGGAGGTTGAAATGTGGAGGCTTTTGGGGGTCCCCTATGTCCCTGTGGGGATTTTGGGGGGGTGAGTGGGGTTGTAGAACCCCCCTACAATTGAGAGTACCCTGTTTTTACAGCTGACTCAGCAGATTTAATGCCCAGCCACTCAGTCAGCCTCAAAACTGAGGTCAAGGGGAGTGCTCAGCATTGGGGCTGCACCGCATTATTGAGAGCACTCCACCTTCACAGTTTCTCTAATCCCTATAGCCCCCAATATCTCATTCTGGCACTAAATGAGCCCCCCAACCCTCCAGAGCACCCCAGAAGCCACCTTGGACACCCCACACACTTCATGGGATCCCACACCTGCCCAAAACCCCCTTGTTCACCCCCAAAAGGCACAGGGTGCCTCCCCAAGCCACCAGCCTTACCCCTCACGGCACCCTCAGCTGTACAGGTGAGGTTGAACACCTCACGTGAAGGTTGCCCCGGGATTTCGGGGTGCTCCCAGTATCCCATTGCCGGGCTGGGGGTGGGTGCTGCCACCAAGCTCCCCTCAGCCTCCGCCGCCATTTTGCCACCTCTTCCTCCACCTGCGGGAAGAGCCCTGGCAGCGCCTTACAGGTGGTGGCGGTAGCACAGATCCTTACAATAACGGCTGTTAAGGGGAAGGGAGGGGCCAGATGCCCCACCGCGGGTCATTTTGGGGTGTTCTGCGGTTTTTTCCAGCGCTGGAACGCAGCGCTTGGCCGCCGTGAGGGGGCGCGTGCGGCTCTTTTCCCGCCTTTTCTCCGCCTGAGGGGAGGAAGGGGGAGGCGGGGGGGGGGGGGGGGGGCGCGAGACTCGCCAGGGGGGGGGGCGAGCTCCGTCTCTCGGCCACTCCGGCTGGAGGCGGGGGGGGGAGGGTGGAGCGCGAGACTCGCCAGGGGGCGGGACGAGCTCCGTCTCTCGGCCAATCGAGACACAGGAGTGGAATGGTAGGCGGGGCGAGCGGGGGCTGGACCAATGGGAAGCGGGGCTGGCGCGGGTGGGGTCCGCGGGTGTGGGCGGGGCCAGCGCAGTCGCGGTCGGAGCGCGGTTGGTGACGGTTCGTGTCCGGTCCGGGTCGTTGGCCGGGCCTTGGAGGGAGCCTTTGCGGCCCTGCTGAGGGTGGGAGGCGTGGGGCGACCTTCCGGGTGCTCCCGCCGCGGTTTTAGCCCTCCCGGTGCTTGTTTTCCTCTCAGAGCTGCTGTGAGAAATGTCCCAGCGGAAGCGCAGCAAAGGGCTTGGCTACTCCCAGGTGAGAGGCTGTTCTCCCCTCATTGTCTCTCCCATTGTCCCCTCCTCGCTTTTGTCCCTTTTCTATCATCACCTTCTCGCTCTTCTGCTGTCCTTCCCACTCAGATGACGGATGGGGAGGATGATTCCATCCCGACCCAGGTGGAGCGGCGCTCGCAGGACCAGGTGAACCAGAAGGTGGATTGAGGTGCTCCCCTCTGTGCCCTCTCCGCAGTCCTGCCTCTGCATTCTGTTGGTATCAGCCCGCTCTCGGCCTTCCCTGCTCCTTCCCCCACAGGTGAGCGAGCTGGTGCAGTTCCTGCTCGTGAAGGACCAGAAGAAGATTCCTATCAAGAGGGCAGGTTCGTTGGGGGGGGGGGATCCCTTTTTTTCGGTGTTTCGACCCTTTTAAAGTTTTTCTGTGGGGTGTTCAGAGCTCCAGGCTTGCTCAACATTCGTTTTCTGCAGACATGTTGAAGAACATAATCCGGGAATACCGCGATGCCTACACGGAGATCGTCAGGAGGGCGGACAGGACCCTGCAGGAGGTGAGGGGAGCAGGGCAGGGTTTTGGGGGGAGAGACACCCGTGGGTTAACCCCTGTCCTCCCACAGGTGTTCGGGCTGCAGCTGGTGGAGATCGACACCAAACGCCACATCTACATCCTCATCAACAACCTGCCCCGTGCCGAGGGCGAGCACCTGTGCAGGTGAGGGGCACCTGTGCAGTGAGGGCACCTGTGCAGTGAGGGGCACCTGTGCAGTGAGGGCACCTGTGCAGGTGAGGGCACCTGTGCAGTGAGGGGCACCTGTGCAGGTGAGGGGCACCTGGGTAATTCCAGGGGACCCCCTCACCGTGTCCCCCAACATGGGTGACACCCCGCTGTGTGCCTCAGGGGCAAGGAGAAGGAGAAGATGGGGCTCCTCTTAGTCATCCTCAGCTTCATCTTCATGAAGGGCAACTCGGTCAAAGACAGTGAGTTCTCCCCCACGCCCCGTACCCCGTGTTCCCCCTTGCACCCCGCTCACTGACGCCCCCTTTTCCAGGTGCTCTGTGGGAATTCCTGCACCTGCTCCGTGTGTACCCCGGGTAGGACGCGGGGGGGACACACGGGCACTGGGGGGGACAGGGCTGCTCGGTGCCACCCCTCACTGACCCCCCCGTCCCCAGGAAGCAGCACAGCGTGTTCGGCGACGTCCGCAAGCTGGTGACAGAGGAGTTTGTGCGGCAGAAGTGAGTTTTGGGGGGGCTCCTGGGTGGGGGGGGGTTTGGGGGTCCCGGTGTGCCCAGAGCGGCCTCGGCGCCAGCTCGGCCAGGCTGTTTATACCACACCGCAGAGCAAAGCCCGCAGCCCCCACACCCCGTGCCTCAGAGGGTCCCTCACGGGGCCGGGGCAGCGCTGGACACCCCCCTGTGCACCCCAAAACCTGCCTGGGGAGGGGTCAGCAGCCAGCCCTCCGCAGGTACCTGGAGACCACCCCCATCCCCCTGACGGACCCCCCCGAGTTCAAATACCAGTGGGGGCCCCGGGCAGAAAAGGAAACCTCCAAGAAGGACGTGCTCAGCTTCGTGGCCAAGGTGAGGCCGTGTTGGGGGGGAGCATCTCTGAGTTTGGGGGGGCTCAATTTGAAGCCCCCTCCCCATTTTTTTCCCCGCTCAGATGCAGGGCAAGGACCCCACGTTTTGGGCGAGCCAGTACAGCGAGGCCGAGGCCAACAGAGCCACCACCTGACCCCTCCCCAAAATAAAGGCACCCCGTTGGCGTGCAGCCCCCCAATCTCCAGGCTCTCTGCTTGGTTGTAGAAGGTTTAATTTTGGGGTGGGGGCTCCCCTTCTCCCCGTGGGACCCCTCAGAAGTGCTCGGGGACGGTGTTGAGGGCGTCGGCCGCCGTGCGGTTGATGTCGACGTTCTGTGGGGTGGAAATGGGGGGGGGTTTTGGGGGAATCTCCCCAAAATCCAGCACCCCCCCCCTCAGTGTTTGGGGGGGTTAATGAGGTCTGCACCCTCTTTTTGTGGGGGGGGGATTTGGGGAGGGGGTTCCTCACCTGGGGTCGTGCCCGGTGGGTGTTCACTGCCTCGATGTTGAGGTAGATGGGCTCCACCTCACACCCTGTTCCGGGGAAAAGGGGAGGGTTTGGGGGGGTTGGCCCCGTTTTGGGGTGGGATATGGAGGGATCAGTCCCTTTTGGGGGGGATTTGCCCTGTTTTGGGGTTGGATATATGGGGGGATCAGTCCCTTTTTGGGGGATTGTCCCTATTTTGGGGTGGGACACACCCTTTTTGGGGGATTGTCCCCACTTTGTGGAGAGCCTCTGTGGGGACAGTCTTATTTTTGGGAGGATTGTCCCCATTTTGGGGTGGGATATGGAGGGATGAGTCCCTTTTTGGGGGGATGGTCCCCATTTTGGGATGGGATATGGGGGGAGCAGTCCCTTTTTGGGGGATTGTCCCCATTTTGGGGTGGGACACAGGGGGAACAGTCCCTTGGGGGGGATTGTCCCCATTTTGGGGTGGGACACAGGAGGAACAGTCCCTTTTTCGGTGGGATCTCGTCCCATTTTCTGGCAGGAACACAACTCCCCTTTTTTTGGGGGAAACCCCCCATTTTCTGGAGCCACTCTTGGGGGGGGGGACAGTCCCTTTTTTGGGGACCCCCACTCACCGTAGGCCACGGGGGTCAGCTTCAGCACCGTGTGCAGGGGGCACTTGAGGTAGGGCAGCTCATCTGGGTGGGGGATTGAGAAATGTGAGGTGGGCACGGCAGCTCTGGGCTGTCCCCAGGTGTCCCCTGGCTGTCCCCTGGCTGTCCCCTGGCTGTCCCCAGGGTGTCCCCAGGGTGTCCCCAGGGTGTCCCCAGGGTGTCCCCAGGTGTCCCCAAGGCCTCACCCGCGCTCTTGTCCAGGAAATAAGCCAGCAGGCAGCGCATGACAGCCTGGTGGCACACCACCAGCACGTTCTCCTGCCGCTCCAGCTCCATGATGACCGGCTCCAGCCGCTGCACCAGGTCCTCGTAGGACTGGGGAGGGGGCTTAGGGGGTGTCCCACGCCCCTGCGCCCCCAGCTGTCCCCCCGGGGAGGGGGTTTTGGGGGTACCTCGCCCTTGGGGTAGCGGTAGCGGTACTTGTCCTGGTCGCGCAGCGCCAGCTCCTTGGGGTAGCGCTCCTGGATCTCCTCGTAGGTCATCTCCTCGCAGACCCCCTGTGCCACAGCGGGTGCCAAGGGGGTCCCCAAAGCCCGGGAAGGCTCTGACCCCAGTGGGTACCCACCCCTGAGTGCCCCAGGTGTGTCCCTGCAGTGTGACCCCACAGGGGGACATCCCCCAGGTGTGTCCCCACAGTGTGACCTGCCTGAGACCCCACAGGGGGACATCCCCCAGGTGTGTCCCTGCAGGGTGACATGCCTGTGACCCCCTGAACCCCACCTAGCACATGTTGGGGGACATCCCTGCATCCCCAGGTGTGTCCCCACAGTGTGACCGGCTGAGACCCCTGGATCTCCTCGTAGGTCATCTCCTCGCAGACCCCCTGTGCCACAGCGGGTGCCAAGGGGGTCCCCAAAGCCCGGGAAGGCTCTGACCCCAGTGGGTACCCACCCCTGAGTGCCCCCAGGAGTGTCCCTGCAGTGTGACCCCATAAGGAGACATCCCCCAGGTGTGTCCCCACAGTGTGACCGGCTGAGACCCCTGGATCTCCTCGTAGGTCATCTCCTCGCAGACCCCCTGTGCCACAGCGGGTGCCAAGGGGGTCCCCAAAGGCTCTGCCCCACGGGGTACCCACCCCTGAGTGCCCCAGGTGTGTCCCTGCAGTGTGACCCCATAAGGAGACATCCCCCAGGTGTGTCCCTGCAGTGTGACCCCATAAGTAGACATCCCCCAGGTGTGTCCCTGCAGTGTGACCCCATAAGGAGACATCCCCCAGGTGTGTCCCCACAGTGTGACCCGGCTGTGACCTGTAGGACATCCCCGAATCCCCCAGGTGTGTCCCTGCAGGGTGACCTGCCTGAGACCCCACAGGGGGACATCCCTGAGTGCCCCCAGATGTGTCCCTGCAGTGTGACCTGGCTGAGACCCCACAGGGGGACATCCCCCAGGTGTGTCACCGGGTGACCTGGCTGTGACCCCACAGAGGGACATCCCCCAGGTGGGTCCCCACGGTGTGACCCAGCTGTGACCCATAGGACATCCCTGAGTCCCCCAGGTGTGTCCCCACAGGGTGACCTGGCTGAGAACCCACAGGGGGACATCCCCCAGGTGTGTCCCCACAGTGTGACCTGCCTGAGACCCCACAGGGGGACATCCCCCAGGTGTGTCCCTGCAGGGTGACATGCCTGTGACCCCCTGAACCCCACCTAGCACATGTTGGGGGACATCCCTGCATCCCCAGGTGTGTCCCCACAGTGTGACCCGGCCGAGACCCCTGGATCTCCTCATAGGTCATCTCCTCGCAGACCCCCTGTGCCACAGCGGGTGCCAAGGGGGTCCCCAAAGGCTCTGCCCCACGGGGGAGCACCCCTGAGTGCCCCAGGTGTGTCCCTGCAGTGTGACCCGGCTGTGACCCCACCTGCTGCCTGTGAGGGGACATCCCTGCATCTCCCACGTGTGTCCCCATAGGGTGATCTTTCTCTGACCCCACCTGATACCCACAGGGGGACATCCCCACATCCCCCAGGTGTGTCCCACAGTGTGACCCAGCAGGGGGACATCCCCACACCCCCCAGCTGTGTCCCCACACTGTGACCCAGCTCTGACCCCAGTGTGTCCCACAGGGTGACCCGGCTCTGACCCCACCTGCTACCCACAAGGGGACATCCCTGAGTCCCCCAGGTGTGTCCCCACAGGGTGACCCCACAAGGAAACACCCCCCAGCTGTGTCCCCACACTGTGACCCAGCTCTGACCCCACAAGGGGACACCCCCCAGCTGTGTCCCCAGGCTGTGACCCCACAAGGGGACACCCCCCAGCTGTGTCCCCAGTGTCACCTGGCTCTGACCCCACAAAGTGACATCCCCACGTCCCTCAGGTACGTCCCCACAGGGTGCCTTGGCTGTGACCCCACAGGGACATCCCCCAGCTTTGTCCCCAGTGTCACCCGGCTGTGACCCCACAAGGGGACACCCCCCAGCTGTGTCCCCAGTGTCACCCGGCTGTGACCCCCCTCCACTCACGGCGTCGATCTCGTTGAGCGCCTTCCACTGCTCGTAGGGCACGCCCAGCGCCTCGGCGGTCTGGATGGTTCTCTTCATGTGGCTCGTCCACACCTTCAGCTCGCCGATGTTCTGGCTGCGGATGAAGCGCGCCAGCGCCTGCGCGTACTGGGGGCGCGGGGACAGGCTGTGGCCACCGCCAGCGGCTTCTCGTGGCCCTCGGGGGACAGGCTGTGGCCACCGCCAGCGGCTTCTCGTGGCCCTCGGGGGACAGGCTGTGGCCACCGCCAGTGGCTTCTTGTGGCCCTCGGGGGACAGCCCCACGGCAGGGTGGGCTAAGCCCGGCCCCTTTCTGGGCGTGGCCTGGTTAATTGGCTCCGCCCCTGATTACCTGAGGTGATTCTGGTGGGTGTGGCCTCCCTAAGCAGCAGCCACGCCTCACCTGTGCCCCCAGCCCCGCCTGTGAGGGGATGTCGCTGTGTCCCCCAGGTGTGTCCCCACAGGGTGACCTGGCTCTGACCCCACAGGTGACATCCCCGAGCCCCCCAGGTGTGTCCCTGCACACCTGGCTGGCTGTGACCCCCTTAGCCCCACCTGGTGCCTGTGATGGGATGTCACTGTGTCCCCCAGCTGTGTCCCCGCAGTGTGACCTGGCTCTGACCCCACAGGTGACATCCCCGGGTGTGTCCACAGCGTGACCTCCCTGTGCCCCACCTGCAGCCCACAAGGTGACATCCCCGAGTCCCCCAGGTGTGTCCCTGCAGACTGAGCTGGCTCTGACCCCCTTACCCCCACCAGGTACCCACAGGGGGACGTCCCCACGTACCCCAGGTGTGTCCCTGCAGTGTGACCTGGCTGTGCCCCCACAGGTGACATCCCCCAGGTGTGTCCCCCAGGTGTGACCTCCCTGTGCCCCCACCTGCTGCCCGCAAGGTGACATCCCTGAGTCCTCCAGGTGTGTCCCCCCAGGTGTCTCCCCACAGGTGACATCCCCCTGGTGTGTCCCCACGGTGTCACCTCCCTGTGCCCCACCTGCAGCCCGTGAGGGGACAGTGCTGAGTCCCCCAGGTCTGTCCCCCCAGGTCTGTCCCCCCAGGTGTGTCCCCTGTGCCCCACCTGCTGCCCGCGAAGGGACATCCCCGAGTCCCCCAGGTGTGTCCCTGCAGTGTGACCTGGCTGTGCCCCCACAGGTGACATCCCCAGGTGTGTCCCCCAGGTGTGTCCCCATGGCATGACCTGCCTGTGTCCCCACCTGCAGCCCACAAGGTGACATCCCTGAGTCCCCCAGGTGTGTCCCTGCAGTGTGACCTGGCTGTGCCCCCACAGGTGACATCCCCAGGTGTGTCCCCAGGTGTGTCCCCGTGTCCCCACCTGCATGCCGCGGGGGGACAGCGCCGAGTCCCCCAGGTGTGTCCCCAGGTGTGTCCCCCAGCTGTGTCCCCCAGCTGTGTCCCCAGCTGTGTCCCCAGGTGTGTCCCCGTGTCCCACCTGCATCCCGCGGGGGGACAGCGCCGAGTCCCCCAGCTGTGTCCCCCAGGTGTGTCCCCCAGGTGTGTCCCCAGGTGTGTCCCCAGGTGTGTCCCCCCAGGTGTGTCCCCACCTGCTGCCCGCGGGGGGACAGTGCCGAGTCCCCCAGGTGTGTCCCTGCAGACTGAGCTGGCTCTGACCCCCTTACCCCCACCAGGTACCCACAGGTGACATCCCCAGGTGTGTCCCCATGGCATGACCTGCCTGTGTCCCCACCTGCAGCCCACAAGGTGACATCCCCGAGTCCCCCAGGTGTGTCCCTGCAGACTGAGCTGGCTCTGACCCCCTTACCCCCACCAGGTACCCACAGGTGACATCCCCAGGTGTGTCCCCATGGCATGACCTGCCTGTGTCCCCACCTGCAGCCCACAAGGTGACATCCCCGAGTCCCCCAGGTGTGTCCCTGCAGACTGAGCTGGCTCTGACCCCCTTACCCCCACCAGGTACCCACAGGTGACATCCCCAGGTGTGTCCCCATGGCATGACCTGCCTGTGTCCCCACCTGCAGCCCACAAGGTGACATCCCCGAGTCCCCCAGGTGTGTCCCTGCAGACTGAGCTGGCTCTGACCCCCTTACCCCCACCAGGTACCCACAGGTGACATCCCCAGGTGTGTCCCCATGGCATGACCTGCCTGTGTCCCCACCTGCAGCCCACAAGGTGACATCCCCGAGTCCCCCAGGTGTGTCCCTGCAGACTGAGCTGGCTCTGACCCCCTTACCCCCACCAGGTACCCACAGGTGACATCCCCAGGTGTGTCCCCATGGCATGACCTGCCTGTGTCCCCACCTGCAGCCCACAAGGTGACATCCCCGAGTCCCCCAGGTGTGTCCCTGCAGACTGAGCTGGCTCTGACCCCCTTACCCCCACCAGGTACCCACAGGTGACATCCCCAGGTGTGTCCCCATGGCATGACCTGCCTGTGTCCCCACCTGCAGCCCACAAGGTGACATCCCCGAGTCCCCCAGGTGTGTCCCTGCAGACTGAGCTGGCTCTGACCCCCTTACCCCCACCAGGTACCCACAGGTGACATCCCCAGGTGTGTCCCCATGGCATGACCTGCCTGTGTCCCCACCTGCAGCCCACAAGGTGACATCCCCGAGTCCCCCAGGTGTGTCCCTGCAGACTGAGCTGGCTCTGACCCCCTTACCCCCACCAGGTACCCACAGGTGACATCCCCAGGTGTGTCCCCATGGCATGACCTGCCTGTGTCCCCACCTGCAGCCCACAAGGTGACATCCCCGAGTCCCCCAGGTGTGTCCCTGCAGACTGAGCTGGCTCTGACCCCCTTACCCCCACCAGGTACCCACAGGTGACATCCCCAGGTGTGTCCCCCAGCTGTGTCCCCATGGCATGACCTGCCTGTGTCCCCACCTGCAGCCCACAAGGTGACATCCCCGAGTCCCCCAGGTGTGTCCCTGCAGACTGAGCTGGCTCTGACCCCCTTACCCCCACCAGGTACCCACAGGTGACATCCCCAGGTGTGTCCCCCAGCTGTGTCCCCATGGCATGACCTGCCTGTGTCCCCACCTGCAGCCCACAAGGTGACATCCCTGAGTCCCCCAGGTGCGTCCCTGCAGTGTGACCTGGCTGTGCCCCCACAGGTGACATCCCCAGGTGTGTCCCCAGGTGTGTCCCCAGGTGTGTCCCCGTGTCCCACCTGCACGCCGCGCACCAGGTACCCAGAGGTGACATCCCCAGGTGTGTCCCCAGGTGTGTCCCCAGGTGTGTCCCCGTGTCCCCACCTGCTGCCCACGAGGGGACAGCGCCGAGTCGCCGCCGATGCGGCCGCGCAGGTTGAGCTGGCTCTCGCCGTGGCGGCTCAGGTAGATGGTCCGGGGCGTGACGTGGATGTTCATCAGGTAATAAACCGTGCGGCTCTGCACGTGGCCCTGCACGCGGTTCGCCAGGTACCGCACGCCCACGTCGAAGATCTTGATGTAGGACAGCCCGCTGGGGGTGGGGGGGGCACCCGGGTCAGGGGGGGGGTTTGGGGGGACACCCTGCTCAGGACAGGTTTGGGGGGACACCCCGATGTCAGGACAGCCCTGGGGGCTTTGGGGGGCTGTGGGGGCTTTGGGGCGGGGCTCACCTGTCCAGCTCGTCGTCCAGGGGCTCGTAGGTGGCTTTGTAGCACTCGATGCGCTTGAGGAAATCGGCCACGGCCTCGTCCTGCGCCCGGCCCCTGTAGTCGGGGCTGCTCAGCTTCACTTGCTGCGGTGAAAAATGGCTTTTATTGTTTGCTTAAGTAATGTGTTAAATACAGTTTTAAGTTAAAACAATGTTAAAATAGAAACTGTGTGTGAAAAATGTCTAGTTTATTATTGTATTATGCTAGGAAGTTATGCTGTATTAATTTTCTTAAGTGATGTATTAAATACAGTTGTAGGTTATAACACAATGTTAAAATAGGAACTATGTGTGGAAAATGTGTATTTTATGATTGGCTTTTTGTAAATATTAAATATTGTATTATGCTAGGAAGTTAAGCTGTTTTTATTTCCTTAAGTAAAATATTAAATACAGTTTTAAGTTAAAACACAACGTTAAAATAGAAACTGTGTGTGAAAAATGTGTATTTTATGATTGGCTTTTTGTAAATATTAAATATTGTATTATGCTAAAAAGTTTTGCTATATTAATTTTCTTAAGTAACGTATTAAATACAGTTGTAGGTTATAACAATGTTAAAATAGAAACTGTGTGTGAAAAATGTGTATTTTATGATTGGCTTTTTGTAAATATTAAATATTGTATTATGCTAGAAAGTTTTGCTATATTAATTTTCTTAAGGGATGTGTTAAATACAGTTTTAGGTTATAACACAACGTTAAAATAGAAACTGTGTGAAAAATGTGTATTTTATTATTGTATTATGCTAGGAAGTTATGCTGTATTAATTTCCTTAAGTAACATATTAAATACAGTTTTAAGTTATAACACAATGTTTAAATAGAAACAATGTGTGAAAAATGTGTATTTTATAATTGGCTTTTTGTAAATATTAAATATTGTATTATGCTAGAAAGTTTTGCTATATTAATTTTCTTAAGGGATGTGTTAAATACAGTTTTAGGTTATAACACAATGTTTAAATAGAAACAATGTGTGAAAAATGTGTATTTTATAATTGGCTTTTTGTAAATATTAAATATTGTATTATGCTAAAAAGTTTTGCTATATTAATTTTCTTAAGTGATGTATTAAATACAGTTTTAAGTTAAAACACAGCGTTAAAATAGAAACTGTGTGTGAAAAATTAGTATTTTATGATTGGCTTCTCACAAGTATTAAAATGAATATTAAAGTTACGCTGAATTAATTTTCGTAACTATAGTTTCAGGTTATAACTCAATGTTAAAATAGAAGCGATGCAGTGCAAGATCTTTGTTTAAGGAAGGACTCCAGGTGGGAGCCACAGGACACCTGAATCTTTCCAAGCCCCAAATTGTCACCTCCAGACCTCAATTGTCACCTCCAGGCTTCAGCTGTCCCCTCCATGTCCCAGCTGTCACCTCCAGGCCTGACTTGTCACCTCCAGGTCCCTGTTGTCACTTCCTGGCCCCTGTTGTCACCTCCCAGCCCCAGCTGTCACCTCCAGGCCAGACTTGTCACCTCCATGTCCCTGTTGTCACTTCCTGGCCCCTGTTGTCACCTCCCAGCCCCAGCTGTCACTTCCAGGTCCTTGTTGTCACCTTCAGGTCCCAGCTGTATAAGGGTCCCAGCTGTCACCTCCAGTCCCCAGTTGTCACCTCCAAGCCCCAGCTGTCACCTCCAGGCCTGACTTGTCACCTCCAGGTCCCTGTTGTCACTTCCTGGCCCCTGTTGTCACCTCCCAGCCCCAGCTGTCACTTCCAGGTCCTTGTTGTCACCTTCAGGTCCCAGCTGTCACCTCCAGGCCTCAATTGTCACCTCCAGGCTTCAGCTGTCACCTCCATGTCCCAGCTGTCACCTCCAGTCCCCAGCTGTCACTTCCAGTCCCCAGTTGTCACTTCCAAGCCCCAGTTGTCACCTCCAGGTCCTTTTTGTCACCTCCAGGCCACAATTGTCACCTCCCAGCCCCAGCTGTCACTTCCAAGTCCCAAATTGTCACCTCCAGGTCCCTGTTGTCATCTCCCAGCCCCAGTTGTCATTTCTGGGTCCCTGGTGTCACCTCCAGGTCCCGTTGTCACCTCCAATGTTCTCCTCGATGATCCTGGGGTCGTCACAGATGGACTCCACGAACAGGACCTGGGGACAAGGGGGGGCCGGTGACACCCCCAGAACAGTGCCACCCCAGAACTGTCACCTCCCTGGGACTGTGACACCCCAAAACTGTCACCTCCCATGCTGTGACACCCCAAAAAAGTGTCATCACCCCATGCTGTGACACCCCCAGAACAGTGCCACCCCAAAACTGTCACATCCCCGTGCTGTGACACCCCCAGAATGGTGCCACAGTGTCACCACCCCTTCCCCGTGCTGTGACACCCCAAAAAAGTGTCATCACCCCATGCTGTGACACCCCCAGAACAGTGCCACCCCAGAACTGTCACCTCCTTGGACTGTGACACCCCAAAACAGTGTCACCACCCCTTCCCCGTGCTGTGACACCGCAAAATTGGTGACACCCCCATGCTGTGACACCCCAAATTGTCACCTCCCTGGACTGTGACACCCCAAAACTGTGTCACCATCCTTTCCCCGTGCTGTGACACCCCAAAATTCCTGAAGGCCCCCCCAAAATCCCTCAAAACCCCCCCAAAATTCCTCAAAATCCCCAAGAAAAGTGAAATTCCTGATCTGAATGCCCCTAAACGTGGTGTTGGGGGAGGGATTTTCACCTTCAGTGCGATTTTGTGTCCCCCCCCAAAAAATTCTGACTCCCCCCAAAAACTCCACAGTTGTCTTTGCACCCCCAAATCCTGCTGTACCCCAAGTTTGGGGTGGAAAAACCTGCACTGAAAAGGGAAATTCCCATTTTTCTGAGGAGGGAAATCTGCTCTGAGTACTCTCTGTGGTGTTGGGGGGGGGAATTTTCACCTTCAGGGCAATATTGTGCCCCCCAAAAAATTCTGACCCCCCCAAAAAAAATTCACAGTTGTCTTTGTACCCCTAAATCTTTCTGTACCCCAAGTTTGGGGTGGAAAAATCTGCACTGAAAAGGGAAATTCCCATTTTTCTGAAAAGGGAAATTGTTCTGAGCATCCCTAAGGTTGTCCTGGGGGGGGATTTTCTCCCTCAGTGCAATTTTGTGTCCCCCCCCTCAAATCCCAGCCCCCCCAGAACTCCTCAATTGTCTTTGCACCCCTAAATCTTTCTGTACCCCAAGTTTGGGGTGGAAAAACCACGAGTGAAAAGTGAAATCCCTGCTCTGAGTACCCCTAAGGGTGTGTTTGGGGGGGATTTTAACAGGGGTAAAAGGGATGTTAGACCCCCCCAAAAAAATTCACAGTTGTCTTTGGACCCCTAAATCTTTCTGTACCCCAAGTTAGGGGTGGAAAAACCTGCCCTGAAAAGGGAAATTCCCATTTTTCTGAGAAGGGAAATCCCTGCTCTGAGTACTCCTATGGGATGTGCTGGGGGAGGTCTGTGTCCCCCCCCTCAAATTCCAGCCCCCCCAGAACTCCACAATTGTCTTTGCACCCCTAAATCTTTCTGTACCCCAATTTCCAAGTGGAAAAACCTGCCCTGAAAAGGGAAATTCCCATTTTTCTGAGATGGGAAAACTGCTCAGAGTAGCCCTAAGGGTGGTGTTTGGGGGGGGGATTTTCTCCTTCAGTGCAATTTTGTGTGCCCCCCCAAAAAAATTCTGACCCCCCAAAACTCCTCAATTTATTTTTGTACCCCCAAATCCACCCCCTGGTGACATCCCACTCAGCGCGGGGACACCGGGACCCCCCTGCCGGTGACACCCCCGTTAACATGGGGACCCCCCTGGTGACACCGCCCTCAGCGTGGGGACACGGGGACACCCTGGACATGGGGACATGGGAACCCCACTGCCGGTGACACCCCCCTAACATGGGGACCCCCCCGGTGACATCCCACTCAGCACGGGGACATGGGGACCACCCCCCCTCGTGACACCCCCCTCGACACGGGGATACCAGGACCCCCCCGGTGACATCCCACTCAGCACGGGGACATGGGGACCACCCCCCCTGGTGACACCCCCCTCGACACGGGGACACGGGGACCCCCCCACTGGTGACACCCCCCTGCACACAGGGACCTGGGGACCCCCCCGGTGACATCCCCCCTCGACACGGGGATACCAGGACCCCCCCGGTGACATCCCACTCCCCATGGGGACAGGAGGAGCCCCCCACTGGTGACACCCCCCTCCACACCAGGCCACCATGACCCCCCTGGTGACACCCCCCTGCAGATGGGGACACCGTGACCCCCCCGCTGGTGACCTTTGACCTCTCAGGTGACACCCCACCCTGACGTGGAGCCTCCTCGACCCCACGGGTGGCCTTGGCCAAGGAGTGGGGACCACCTTGACCCCGCTGGTGACATCCCCCTCCCCCCTCAAACTGGGACCGGCGTGACCTTGACCGAGGAGTCAAGGTCACCTTGACCTTGCTGGTGACATGCCACCTTGTCCTCGTCCCCTCTGGTGACACCCCCCCCAGCACAGCCCCCTCAGCTGAGGACGTGGGGGCTACCTCGGCCACCCCCTCGATTTGGGACCACCCTGACCCCCCCGTGACCCCCCGGCCGGGTGCCACCCCAGGTGACCTCTCCCGAGGAGGTGGCGGCGGCGCTGGCCCTGGCCCAGAAGAAGTTTGGGCGCCTGGACCTGGCCGTGAACTGCGCCGGCATCGGCATCGCCGTCAAGACCTACAACAGCAAGAAGGACAAAGTGCACGACCTGGAGGACTTCCAGAGGGTCATCAACGTCCGTGGGGCGCGGGCGGCCTGGGGGGCTCCGGCCAGGGGCGGGGGTGGCCTGGGCAGTGGGGGGTGACCTGGTCAGTGGTGTGAGTGACCTGGTCAGTGGCATGGGTGACATCATCAGTGGGTGGATGACCTGGTCAGTGGCATGGATGACCTGGTCAGTGAGGGGTGACCTGGTCAGTGGCATGGGTGACATCATCAATGAGGGGTGACCTGGTCAGTGAGGAGTGACCTGGTCAGTGGTGTGAGTGACCTGGTCAGTGGTGTGAGTGACCTGGTCAGTGGCATGGGTGACATCATCAATGAGGGGTGACCTGGCCAGTGTGTGGATGACCTGGTCAGTGCTGTGGATAATGACCTGGTCAGTGTGTGGATAACCTGGTCAGTGGCATTGGTAACCTGGTCAGTGGGTGGATGACCTGGCCAGTGCTGTGGATGACCTGGTCAGTGTGTGGATGATTGGTCAGTGGTGTGGATGACCTGGTCAGTGTGTGGATGATTGGTCAATGAGGGATGACCTGGTCAGTGTGTGGATGACCTGGCCAGTGCTGTGGATGACCTGGTCAGTGGTGTGGATGATTGGTCAGTGGTGTGGATGACCTGGTCAGTGTGTGGATAACCTGGCCAGTGGTGTGGATGATTGGTCAGTGCTGTGGATGACCTGGATCGCCGTCAAGACCTACGACAGCAAGAAGGACAAAGTGCACGACCTGGAGGACTTCCAGAGGGTCATCAACGTCCGTGGGGCGCGGGCGGCGTGTGGATGACCTGGTCAGTGTGTGGATAACCTGGCCAGTGGTGTGGATGATTGGTCAGTGCTGTGGATGACCTGGCCAGTGCTGTGGGTGACCTGGTCAGTGGATGGATGACATCATCAGTAGGTAGATGACCTGGTCAATGGCATGGATGACCTGGTCAGTGGGTGGGTGACCTGGCCAGTGCTGTGGGTGACCTGGCCAGTGCTGTGGATGACCTGGTCAGTGGTGTGGATGGTTGGTCAGTGCTGTGGGTGACCTGGCCAGTGCTGTGGGTGACCTGGTCAGTGGGTGGATAACCTGGTCAGTGGGTGGATGACCTGGTCAGTGCTGTGGATGACCTGGCCAGTGGTGTGGATGACCTGGTCAGTGGGTGGATGACCTGGTCAGTGCTGTGGATGACCTGCCCAGTGCTGTGGATGATTGGTCAGTGTGTGGATAACCTGGTCAGTGAGTGGGTGGCCTGGTCAGTGGGTGGATGACCTGGTCAGTGCTGTGGATGACCTGGCCAGTGCTGTGGATGATTGGTCAGTGAGGGGTGACCTGCTCAATGGGCTGGCTGTACCCGTGGGGACTTCGGGGCGTTCCCAGCACAACACAAGGGGCCGTGGGGCTACCAGCAGGGCTTGGTGGCTCCCACAAGACCCCCTCCCCAAATCCTTCTCGCCCCCAGGTGAACCTGGTGGGGACCTTCAACGTGATCCGCCTGAGCGCGCAGCTCATGAGCCACAACACGCCGGACGCCGACGGCCACCGCGGGCTCGTGGTCAACACCGCCAGCGTGGCCGCCTTCGAGGGCCAGGTGAGCGACCCCCAGACACCCCAGGGACCGCCGGGGTGGGGTGGAGACCCCTGCGGTGAGCGCAGCCCCTCCCCGCAGGTGGGACAAGCGGCCTACTCGGCCTCCAAGGGCGGCATCGTGGGCATGACGCTGCCCATCGCCCGCGACCTGGCGCCGCTGGGCATCCGCGTGGTCACCATCGCGCCAGGTAGGGCCGCGCGCCGCCGGGGAGGCTGGGCGGGGGGAGAGCCCCCCGCTGACGTCCTGCTTTTTGTGGGGGGGGGTCCGCAGGGCTGTTCTCCACGCCGCTGCTGGCCGGCCTCCCCGAGAAGGTGCGCAGGTTTTTGGGGCAGCAGGTGCCGTTCCCCTCGCGCCTGGGGGACCCCGCCGAGTACGCGCACCTGGTGCAGGCGCTGGCCGAGAACCCCATGATCAACGGCGAGGTGGTGAGGCTGGACGGGGCCCTGCGCATGCAGCCCTGAGCCCCCAGACCCAAATGCCGGGCGCGGAGGGAAGGGATGGACGCCGCGGCTGGATGATCTCCGGGGACACTCCAGGATGGGAACGCTGCGGGGACGAGGACTGGGGGCACCGTATGAGTGGGGACACTCTGTCCTGAGTGGACACGACCCCCAGACCCCCACCCAAAGTGGGGCCACCCGGGGATTTGGGGACAAACCCCGGGAACGTGGCCACGAGGCGACTCAGGGATTTGGGGGACCCCACCAAGGGGACCCTTCCCAGGGGTGGGGGTCCATCCCGAGCCCCCCCGGGTGTGGGGACCCCCTGGAACCCCCCCAGCCCCCCCCGCGCCGCCCCCGCCCCCCCCCACCGCAATAAAGCCTGTTCGCCCACGCGGCCTCCCAGCCGTGCGATGCCCCGCCTCCCCTCTCTCCCCATTGGCTCGTGCCGCTGTCAATCTTCAGCGCAGCCCGCCGTGATTGGCTGGCGCGGGGGGTGGAAGGGGGCGAGGCCCGCCCACGCCAGTGCACGCGCGGAGCTCGCCGCTGATTGGCTGAGGACAGAGGTGGGGCGGGGCGGGGCTTGGCACGCCTCTCCGCATGCTGATTGGTTGGGGCGCCTGTCAATTGAGCGGGATGACGGCTGGGCGGGCTCAGCGCTGATTGGTCAGAGAGGAACTTCCGGCGGAAGCGGCTCGTGAGGGGACCGGGACCGGCACCGGGAGCGGAACCGGGAGCGGGAAACGCCACCGGGAGCGGCGGCCGCAGCCATGAACATCCGGAACGCGCGGGTGGGCAGCCCGGGAGGGGCAGCGGGGCTCGGCCGGGGCCCGGCGTGGGAGAGCCGCGCACCGGGGAGGGACCTGACGGTGATACCGGGCCATGGCGGGAGGCGTGAGGGGAACACCGCGCCCTGGGAGGGGTCTGAGGGGAGCACCGAGTACTGGCAGGGGGAGCGGGGGTTTCATGAGGGGTCGGAGGTGCCCCCGGTGCTGGGAGCCCCGGGGCCGGTCCCGGGCTGATCCCCCGGTGCCGGTGCCGGTGCCGGTGCCGGTTCCGCCCCTCCCGCAGCCCGAGGACCTGATGAACATGCAGCACTGCAACCTGCTCTGCCTGCCCGAGAACTACCAGATGAAATATTATTTCTACCACGGCCTCTCGTGGCCGCAGGTGCGGCCCCGGACCCGCCCCGGGACACCGGGATGGGACACCGGGATTAACCCCCGGGACACCGGGATGGGACACCGGGATTGGGGTTTTTTTGGGGTGTCCCACCCCATTTTGTGGTCTCCTGGGGATTTTTTGGGGTTCCTTGGGATTTTTTGGGGTTTTTTTCTGGTGTCCCACCCCGTTTTGGGTTCCCATGGGGTTTTTTTGGGGTGTCCCACCCCATTTTGTGGTCTCCTGGGGATTTTTTGGGGTTCCTTGGGATTTTTTGGGGTTTTTTTCTGGTGTCCCACCCCGTTTTGGGTTCCCATGGGGTTTTTTGGGGTGTCCCACCCCGTTTTAGGTTCCCATGGGGGTTTTTTGGGGTTCCCTGGGGGTTTTTTTGGGTTTTTTTGGGGTGTCCCAGCCCATTTTGGGTTCCCATGGGGGTTTTTTGGGGTTCCCTGGGGGTTTTTTTGGGTTTTTTTGGGGTGTCCCAGCCCATTTTGGGTTCCCATGGGGGTTTTTTGGGGTTCCCTGGGGGTTTTTTTGGGTTTTTTTGGGGTGTCCCAGCCCATTTTGGGTTCCCATGGGGGTTTTTTGGGATTCCCTGGGGTTTTTTGCGGTGTCCCAGCCCATTTTGGGTTCTCCTGGGGTTTTTTTTTTTGTTCCCATGGGTGTTTTTGGGGTTCCCGGGGGTTTTTTTGGGGTTCCCTGGGGTTTTTTGGGGTTTTCTTGTGGTGTCCCAGCCCATTTTGGGGTTCCCTGGGTTTTTTGGGGGTTTTTTTGGGGTGTCCCAGCCCGTTTTGGGGTCCTCTGGGGTTTTTTTGGGGTGTCCCAGCCCATTTTGGGGTTCCCATGGGGGTTTTTTTCGGTTCCCATGGGTTTTTTTGGGGTTCCTGGGTTTTTTTGGGGTTTTTTTGGGGTGTCCCAGCCCGTTTTGGGGTCCTCTGGGGGTTTTTTTGTGGTGTCCCAGCCCATTTTGTGGTTCCCTGGGTTTTTTTGGGTTTTTTTGGGGTGTCCCAGCCCATTTTGGGTTCCCATTGGGGTTTTTTCGGGGTTCCCTGGGTTTTTTTGGGTTTTTTTGGGGCGTCCCAGCCCATTTTGGGGTTCCCTGGGGTTTTTTTTTGGGTTTTTTGGGGTGTCCCAGCCCGTTTTTGGCCCCCCCAGGCGGTGAAGCGCTCGCACCGGCGCCTGGGGCTGGCCCAGAAGCTCATGGACCAGGCGTCCCGGGCCATGATCGAGAACTTCAACGCCAAATACGTGTCCCTGCACGTCCGCAAGAGGTGAGACCCCTCCCCAAAATCCCCCAAAACCCCCCCGGGAGCCCCCCAAAATAACCCCCCCCGTTTGTCCTTGGCAGCAACCGGGCGGCGCTGCACCTCTACTCCAACACCCTCAACTTCCAGTGAGTCTGGGGGGCTCGGGGGGGGTCTGGGGGTGCTGCAGGAGGAAATTTGGGGGGTTTTGGGGGGGTTTGGGGACCCCCGGGCCGTTTTGGGACCCCCGAAATCCGCGGCAGGATCAGCGAGGTGGAGCCCAAGTACTACGCGGACGGGGAGGACGCGTACGCCATGAAACGGGACCTGACGCAGATGGCGGACGAGGTGCAGACCCCAGACCCCCTACCCCCAAAATCCCTCTCCACCCCCACTGGGACCCCCAAAATCCCCCCTGGGGGGGCTCCCACCCGCTCCCCCCAGGCGTAACCCCCTCCCTCTCCCCCCAGCTGAGGAAGCAGGTGGAGCAGAAGGAGCGGGGCCGCCCCCCGGCCCCCACCGAGCCCCCCCGGGCTGGGGATGGGGTCTGCGGCTCGGGGGGGCCCCCCTCGAACCCCCCACCCGCGGGACCCCCCCCACAGCACCACGAGGACGGGGGGGGCGACAGCAAAGACGTCAGCGAGGTCAGCGAGACCACCGAGAGCACCGACGTCAAGGACAGCTCCGAGGCCTCCGACTCCGCCTCATAGGGACCCCCCCCCAAAATCCCTGGGACCCCCGGGAGCCCCCCCAAACCCCCCGGGGACCCCCTTGGTGCTGTGGGGGGGCATTAAAGCCCCTCAGTCTCCAGCCCGTGCTCTGTCTCTGTCTGTGCCCCGGGGCTGGGGGTGCTCCTGGATTTTTGGGGGGTCCGGGGTGGGGGGGTTCGAGCCCCCGTCTGGGCGGGGCTTGGGTTGGCCACGCCTTAAATACAGGTGGGGGCGTGGTCTATGCGGATCTCCCTCGTGCTGATTGGTGGAGGCGCGGCCAGCACCGGGAGCTGGTCGCTGATTGGTGGAGACGCGCGGCTGTGGCGCCCCCGTGCGGGAGGGGGGGGAGGAGCAGGAGGGAACGGGAACGGGAGCGGGAACGGGAACGGGAACGGGAACGGGAACGGGAACGGGAACGGGAACGGAGCGAGGTTGGGGCAACGGGAGCGGGAACGGGAAACGGGACCGGAGCGAGGTTGGGGCAACGGGAACGGGAACGGGACCGGAGCGAGGTTGGGGCAGCGGGAAACGGGAACGGGAACGGGACCGGAGCGAGGCTGGGGCAACGGGAACGGGAACGGGGCGAGCCTGGGGCAGCGGGAGCGGGACAGGGAACGGGAACGGGGCGAGGCTGGCGCAACGGGACCGGGAGCGGGACCGGAGCGAAGTTGGGGCAGCGGAAACCGGGAACGGAGCGAGGCTGGGGAGGCGGGAACGGGACCGGGAACGGGGCTGAGAGGCTGGGTCAGGGGGACCGGAACCGGGACTGGAGCGAAGCTGGGGCTACGGGAACGGGACCGGGACCGGAGCGAGGCTGGAGCAGCAGGAACGGGAACGGGACTGGAGCGAGGTTGGGGCAACGGGAACGGGACCGGAGCGAGGCCTGGGCAACGGGAACGGGACTGGGGCAGCGGGAACCGGGAACGGAGCGAAGTTGGGGCAACGGGACCGGAGCGAGGCTGGGGCGGCGGGAACCGGGAACGGGAACGGGACTGGAGCGAGGTTGGGGCAACGGGAACGGGACTGGGGCAGCGGGAACCGGGAACGGAGCGAAGTTGGGGCAACGGGACCGGAGCGAGGCTGGGGCGGCGGGAACCGGGAACGGGACCGGAGGAGGCTGGGACACCGGGACCGGGCCGGCGCCACGCCTGCCGTGCTGCTCCATCCGCCCTCCGGGACCGGCCGTGCCGGTGCGTACGGAGCCGGCCCGGAGCGTTTCCCCGCCGCTGATCTCCCCCCGAACCCCGGTGCGGTTCCACGGGCGGTTCGGGGTCCCGGGGGGACTGGCGGAGCTCGGGGAGCCGGGCCCGGTGGCGACCGCGGCACCGGGACCGGGATGGAAATGGGGGAAGCACCGGGAGGGGGGGGATGGAGGCACCGGAATGGGCTGGAAATGAGGGGGGTCCCCTCTCTGTGGTGCTGGGGGGGCACTCATGGGGGTCCCAGGCACTTTGGGGGTCTCTCTCTCTCGCCCCCCACCCCAACACCTGCAGCAGGTGAGGATGGGAATGACCCAGGGGAGTCAAATCCCCCTGAAATCCCCCCCAGCTCCCCTGGGGTTCAAGGCAGGTCTCAGCGAATCTGTTAAAACTTTCTCTTTATTATAATATACTTTTAAGATATAAAAAGAAAATTTTACAAGTTTTTAACCCAAAATGTACAAAACTGGTCAAGAAATGGTTGTGTTTCTCCCCTTGTGTGTGGTGGGTGGGTGGGCTGGCTGTGTGGTTCCCTGCTCCTCATCTTTTGAACTGGAAGCATTGGGATCAGTGGTACAGCCATAGGGATGAGCAGGGGGTGCCCCCACCGTAGGAACAGGGGGCAGGGGTACCGTGGGGACAGGGGCGGGGACGCCTGGTGACATCACGTCGGCAGGGGCCCCTAGGGTTTGTTGGGGGGGGGGGGGTGGGGGGGGGGGAGGGATTTTAGGGGACCCCCCCACCCCCCAGGTAACGAAGCTGGGGAGATTGGGGGTCCCCGGAGGTGGGGGGGGTCATGAAAGGTTTGGGGGGCAGGGGGGTGAAAGGCCTTCGAACACCCTGAGCTGTGTTGGGGGCCCCCAGCCCCTCGTTACCCGCAATGCCGGGGGGGTGGAGATGTGCAGCACCCCCAAATCCCCCCCCCCAGTTAAATTCTGCCCCTGTTGGGGTCTTTGTGTCCCACGGGGGGGTTGGGGGGCTCCTCTGTTGGGATCTCTTCCACGCCACTACCTGGAGAGGGAGGATTGGGGGGGCACAAAATCAGCCTCTGCTCCCCTTCCAAGAGGACTCTGGAGGGGGGGGGTCACTCAGGTGAGGAGTTTTGGGGTCCCCCCAGGGCAGAGCGGGGGGTCGGTCACGTACCATCCCCATCATCCGGGATCTCCTGCACGTCCTCGTCGTCATCCAGGATCACCACGCAGTCCTCGCCGCTCTCGCTGGGGAGGGGGCGTTAATGGGGGGGGGGTGGAATTGGGGTTCCCTCCCCTGGAGCCCCCC